ATCGTAAAATACTTCGTTAGGTTGAAGAAAAGATCGTGAAATACTTAGTTAGGCTCAAGAAAAGATCGGGAAATACTTAGATTTTAAAAAAAGATCGTGCTTTGGGTAAAAATAACTATGGAAGTGTCGTTGCTGAAGTTAGCCATATCGTACATATTTCTTTCCAAAATAAGGTCCCATGGTGGACACAGGAACGGGCGGGACTTCGCCTCTCGATTGAAGGTAAGCAGTTGCTCCTGATTGCATTTCAGCCTATTTAGCAGCTGCTGTCTGCAGCGTTCTCCCTCAATACTGGACCAATTTCAGAAAATTGTTGTCCCTATTAGTCACTTAGACACAAAAACATGAGAAAAGTGGATCCACAGCGACGTTACCCTTTAACCTTTATAGCTGTTGATATGTAAAAAACTCCAATCTTGCTTATTTGCTTATAGTCTTTAAATTCGACTGAGGGATTAAAAGCACATTCATAGATCCACTTTGTCTTATTAAACACTTTAAAAAGCGGACACCCAGACACATTCATGGCGGTCGGGCCGACAATCACACCGTTTATCTTAGTTCCTGAGCGGCAATACTTTCTCCAGACAGCGAGGATTTGTTATCGATTTCTCGGGGAATTAAGTCTAATTCCGATTGAGATTGCATGTGTGGATAAGGGGCTCTTTCTCACTCAGCGAGACACTTCAAACACCTGCGACAACAACCCGCCGGGCCTAAATGTTTGATTGTGTGTGATAATTTGACAGGGCGGTAAAGAATGACGGATAGAGACGGTGACGGAAAAACCGAGAAGAGGCAGAGAAGAGGCAGAGGGTGATTGAGTGTGTGATGGATGGAGAAGCGGAGCGGGTGACAAATGATAGTCTGAAATAGAGATCGCTCTCTGAGGATGACATTGTTGGGAGTGAACCGCTCGATGCATCAACTCCAGACACTGCTTGAGGCAGCGGCGTTGATTGATAGCGTGCCAACACTCACACGTCTACCTGCGTTCAGATGGTCAATAGAGGGCGCTAGGGCGCTGAGCCGCAACAAATAAAATAAAATAAATAATAATAATAAACTACACAAATTGTCAATATTTGTGTTTCTGAAATATGGAATCACCCAGTAATATGTGTAAAATATGAAACTGTATTTCCCTCAAATAGAAATTCTACATCAAGTAGAAATCTTTAAAAACAACCATCTGAATATACTTCTTCCACCACTGGCGTTTACATCCAGTGTTCCAACTGATGGATTGACAAATAAATAATAAAGGGGACTGTTGGTAGAATTCAATAGCGCGGTCAATAATGTGGGAAAGTAAAAGGTCAAACTAAATCAGTTTCTAAATGAAAAGGTTTGAACTCTCACAGCCACACCGGCCTCAAATTCACACAAAGGCAGGGCCGTCTCTAGCGGTGGAACTTTGTTCCATTCCCAAATCACGCAGGACGTTGAAATAAAAACGAGCGTCCACCCGCCGCCGCTGCTCTAAGGCCCGCGTCACAGATCAGTGTTCAGACCGTCCAACGGAGTGAAAGGAGTCCCGGTGCAGCCGTGTGGATGAAGTCCGGTGAACTGTGCTGATGAGGCCGGAGGAATCCTGCTGACACAAACAATAGCTCAGTTTCTACTGTGGGAGGTCAAGCGTGAGTTTTAGGATTCTTTATTTATCGGAGCTGGTATTTAAGCGTCTCTAACGAGGAGCGGAGTCATCCTGCTCGGCTGCTGTCTGAACTTGCCAATTACTGCTAATAAGAGGCGACACAACTCTACTTATGGATCCAAATTATTATCATTTTCTTTAGCTGTAGTCTTTTGTGTGAATCTGCAGGTAGAAACCAAATAAAACTTTACGCGGTTAAATTATTTTGTTTATTTAAAAATATATTTAGAAACAGAACCACTGGTGTAAACGTACAGTAACACACAGGAACAGTGTGGGAACTCACACCTCAATGCAACCCTGTTCACCTTCAACCAAACAGGAACAAAGAAAGAACTCAAAGAAACCACAGCAGCACTTCACCCTCAGACACATGCAGCTGTGCACACGGTGTCAAACTGTCTCATGTTTTATGAACTGACTCTCCAACACATCCCAGCGTTGTGTGGGTCTCACTTTCTCTTGAATCAGTGAAGTTAAATAAAGAAAACAAATAAAAGCAGTAGCATTCATAATATATCATATAATGGGTACTGTAGTTGGCCTCCTGAAACATACTGTAAAAAAACCCTCAAACTAGTCAGTCAATTCTTTGAAGCAATACTTTGATTGAAGAAACACACTTTCTTTAAAGTAGAAAAATGAGAATTAAACGCTGGTGCCTCTAAATAACTGTCCTAACTTTTATCAACTAACATTTGGGTCAGTAGAAATGAGAATGTAATCGCAACCCGATACAGAAACAATCCTAAAATGCAAACGGTTAGCGGGTACATTTGTTAAAAAAAAAGAAATAGAAATTAATGTTGACATCAATTAAGTTGAAAAACAAAAACAACATCTGGACTTATTCCTCATCTTCAGCTATGTGTACATTGCTCTTACACCGTGCCAGCTGCATTATGACACCAAAGTATTGTGGGAAATGCTCAACAGTCTGCTCCCCGACACGGTCACGAAGTCCTTCAGTAGCTCCATTCAGTAGACGTCACTCGTCTCTGCTCCCAGCAGGCACCACGGCAGGGCGAATGTCACAAACCGTCTGCTCTATGAGGAAGCGTCTTCCTGCTGCTCGGCCTCAAAAGGGTAGCTGAGAGCAGGAGGAGAGCCCTGACTCCGAGGCTGTTCGTCCAACAACATTAAGTCCTCCACTTCTCTCCCTTTGAACCTCCGTCTGCAGATCTTTACAGACACTTTTCGCCCCTGAAAGACTTTTAGGGCCTCTTTGGAAGCCATGGCCCTGGCGGCGGCCTCGTCCCGCCCGTATCCAGTCCCCATGTACACAGTCTGACAGCGGATCTCGCACACGTGGCCTTCCTTCTGCGTGCGACCCGCGGGGAGGCCGTCGATGTCCTTCAGTGGCACAAACACACTGGTCAGGGTCTCTTTACATGACTCGACGCAGCTGCAAAGTATTTCAAAATGGTCCAAGTTTGGACCGAAGCCCCCCGCCGACACCAACTTCCAGGCCACCGCCTTGTAGAGGCGGTTGAAGAAGGGCTGGTGCTCTGCTGGAGCCTGTGGACGAGGTCCGGATTTCTGACTCGCAGGCCACGGAGCTCCACATCTGGCTCTTTTCACAGCGCCGTCAGCGCCACCCTCTGAGAATAATGACACAACAGGCAGGAGACAGCGATGAGTGCACAAAGAATCACATCTTAATGAGGGAACAGACTCCGGTCCCAGGCGTGGGTGTTAAAAGAGAAAAACAACCTGTAGGTGAAACCCTGCTGTAAAGGAAACATGTTGGAGGTCCGTAAAGAGCAACAAAGTTTGTGTTGCACCGAGTCCTTCCCACTATCTCACTTAGTCACAGCTCTTATAAAGGCGACTCAAGTTCACTACATTTCCTAATCCTCTCAGCTAATGCTAGTTTAAAAGACACACCAGCATTGTATCTTCAGACAGCCTTTCATCAGAATCATTACACGTCTTATGGCTGAATACAGAGAAATAAAATAAGTGATGTGGTTCAATATCAAAATGGTATTACTATTTATGTACTGTACGTTGTCATTCATAGTCTGCACTTCTGTAGTACTATCAATTACCAAGAATGGGTTGTGTGGAAAAATAACTTGCTGATGAAATCCTTCATCACTCATCTCTACCCAAAGCCGATTGTAGTTTTTGAGGCCGTAGCTTGTGGTGGTGCTGGATTGCATCGTGTTGAAAGGTGCTTCTAATATCTTACATACACGGGGAAATATAATATTAGAAATGCATTTAAAGACGATCCCAGACTACAGCGCTCTGCCACAATGCTTACTGTAGTGTCATTTCTCTCCCTATGTATCCATTACCAACAACCTAAAACTATAAAATAATGGTAGTGAGTGTTTTGTCTCGTGTCACCGCCCACAGTAAATACAGTCGTCTGTTTTATTCTTATTAAACGTGTGTATTGCATTACCAGTCCGCTTTCCTCTGGCCAGGATTCCATCTTTTGTCGTTTTGCGAACGGGGGCATCTGTGACCACTATCCCCTCACCCATCTCCTTGATCCGGTCCATCACAGCCTGCGAATAGCTGAAGGGTGAAGAGAACAGAGACAAGTGGCAAATTTGTGCCTGGTTTATAACATTTTAAATGGTTTGGCCCCTCCTCCACTACGTGACTTAGTGTATACTCGCTCAGTAAATATCTATTAGATCCTCAAGAATATCCTCTATACCAGACTATACCATCCTCAAGAATATCCTCTATACCAGACTATACCATTCTCAAGAATATCCTCTATATGAGACTGTACCAGACCATTTCGCCACACTGCATTTGGTCAATCAGCTTTTTCTGTAAAAGCAACAAATCAGTAGAACACCCTGCCTGACGTTGTGAGGAGCTGATGTGGTCTAATGTGGTCTATATATATATAATAATAACACCCTGCCTGATGATGCAAGGAGCTGCAGCTTCATCAGCACTTTCAAAACCAACTTAAAAAGTGTGTTAAAAGCTGCTCAGCTCTGTACACTGAGTAAGCTATAATCTGGTACGGTGCATCAAATGGTGACATTTATGTTTTAAACTGTACATAAAATAAATAAATAAGTGGACTCCATGTCGAGCATAGCTTTATCTTTTGCTTCCTGGAGTTTTACATCATTCTGCTCTGTCGGTGTGTGTCTTACCTGCAGCCGAGGAACACGTGATTGGCCCAGACCATGGACAGAGAGAGCAGCTTGTCCAGATTACTGCTGCTGGGGACTCCGAGCTCCAGTGTGGTGGTGTAAGAAGAAGCCTCCATGTTTCTGAGGATGAACTCTCTCCGAGCAGCCCACTGTTTGTTGCTCTCACAGTAGGTCCTGAGAGTATCGACCCACTGGGCCAGCTGTGGGTTCTGGACCAGGTACTCTGAAACAATGTCCTCTTCGCTCGTCTCACACGCCATCCCGGCTTTGGAACGACCTGAGGAGACAAGGAACGCAGAATCAGTCATCTCTGTTAAATCACTTCTTAAAACACATTGTACAGAATGTGATGTCGTCGCTTTTGTTTTCTTTTTATTTGTTGATTTTACTAAATATATATAAAATCTTATTTTTAGGGTACCGACTGTGTCTCTGAGCTTTCTATTGTTGTTATTATTGTCTTGCTTTTGCTGCTTTCTCTGTCAAAGCACTTTGTAAACTCTGTTTTTAAAGGTGCTATATAAATACAGTTATTATTATTATTAATAATATTATTATCCCTGCAATATAACAATCACTATCACGTTTATAGCATAGGAAACCAACACCTGCTCGTGTATTTGTGTGGCACGTCATGTTAGTACAGCTAGCTTGAATCCGGCTAATTAAACTCAACAAGTCTGATATAGCTGTGTTTACCTACTAGTTATCGTTTTAAGACCGCAGACAGTTGGTGTTTGGTTGCTAACGTTAGCATAATTAAGCTAACATTTTAACGTTGATAACACTGACATACTGACTTTAGCAACTACCGTTAAGTTAAGTTAGACGGCTAAGTTAGCCGAGTGATTACAAATAGCTCTACTAGAAAGTCGCATATGATTACCACGTGCTCGAACTCAATCATAATATGACACTAATATGCTATAAATAAGCTTTTACAGCCTGAATGAAGCCGATTTAATCATTTTTACTAGAAAATACGACATACCAAGCTCTCTCTCCGTTGCGAGGTGTTGCTAGCTAAGCTAGCTACATGACCGATTGATGACGCAAGACTGACGATGCTACCTTTTTTTTTTTTGAGAGGAATTACATTTCCCGGAAGCGCCCTCATCGTTCGTTTACTTTTGTTTAACATAAATAAAAAACAGCGTATGCTTTTGTATCGTCTCGTAGATCCCAAAATAATAGATAATAATAGAAGACACCTTTGTGATGTTTATATAAAATGATGCTATCTTCTTTTCGAGAGGAACTACATTTCCCAGAAGCGCCCCATCTTTCGTTTACTTTTATTAACATAATTTTTTTTTTTAAACAGCGGATGCTTTTGTATCGTCTTGTAGATCCCAACATCTGAATAATAGAAGACACCTTTGTGATGTTTATGTAAAATCAACGTAGAAGGAAAAAGCGACGGAGCGACGGTTACTACGTCCATGGTTACTGTTGGTTAGCAACCAGTCCGTGCCACCGTGATGCTTTGCGTCGTGACGTAGTCGACCTGCGACAGCGCGGGCTGACGACGGTGGTTTTGTTTTGGTGGCTGGATGAGACGCTCACAGCTGCATTTTCCAACGTTAATCAATTAAAGGTGAATTAACATGATTCACGAGCTGCTGCTGGCGTTGAGCGGATACCCGGGGACGATCTTCACGTGGAACAAACGGACGGGTTTGCAGGTAAAACCGAAGAAACAACGCTTCTATTTAACATTGACATGCTAACGTTAGTTAGCTAAAATATGATGTTTTTTTCTGCACCTATGGTATTGTGTACAATTGGGTTTTGCACCTTACTTTATTGTTTATGTTTTTGCATTATATTTGCTCACACTACTACTGTTTCCAACAACGTTTTCCTTCGGGCTATAAATAAAGTTCTATCTTATCTTTATGTTGCATATTCATTAGACCCTCCAGTTCACCTAACCTGCTGTTGAGAAGGAGAACAAGTAAACGTCACACTAAAGTGAGGTGACGGTGTTAACCACTACTGTGCCACACTGTACTAATGCATCCTCACCACTAAATGACTTGGGGAACTTGTTCAGTGTACTTTCTACAGTATAGTCTCTTCCCAGACTTCAAGAGAGACACCACCGTAACAACATGCAAGGATGCGCTTCCATCATAGCTCATTGTGCTTGTAAGGAACAGGACTGTTCATATGTTCATTGACAGAAAGTTAGACCGACTGATTCACTTAAGCGGTGGTGTAACACTGGCATTCTACAGGGTTAAACTGGACTCTACATGCAGAGGAAAGAGTGTTTATAGGTTGTGCCCCACAGTAACCTTTGTATTAATTCAATTCAGTTCATTTGTATAGCCCAAAATGACAAAGTATTCTCAGAGGACGTTACAATCTGTACACATACAACGCCCTCTGTCCTTGGATCCACGTATCAGAAAAGGACAAACTCCTTAAATGAGGCCCACAGTGTTTCCTTTCCAACATGAAGCACTTTGTTCCGCCCACAGGTGTCCCAGGAACTGCCCTTCCTCCACCCCAGTGAGACCAGCGTCCTCAACCGGCTTTCTAAGCTGGGCTCCGATTACATCCGCTTCACAGAGTTTATAGAACAGCACACGGGCCATGTGCATCAGCAGGTAAAGTCCCTCGATGCCATAAAACAACACTTTTGATATTTAGCAGTTCTCTCCCCCCCAGCTGCATGTTTAATTAAGGATGATATAAAGTGTGTTAGACCGTTCCCTAGCCGTCCCTATCTAACACAGGGTTTCTCTGTGATTAAAATGTTCTCAACAACGTTCTCTCTTCAGGAACATCACACCAACCTGCCCAACCAGACGGGACTTCATGGAATTTACTTGCGGGCTTTCTGCACAGGGCTGGACTCGAGCCTGCAGCCGTACAGACAGGCCCTGCTGGACCTCGAACAAGAGGTAAAATGATGTCACGCACAACAGGAATAAATGGTGGAGCACGTGAAATGTGCTCATTTAACTTGTGTTTGCGTGTATTTCAGTTCCTTGGAGATCCACATCTGACGATATCTCATGTGAATTATAAGCTTGATCAGGTAAAGCATTCATCTTAAGAGATAATTTGTAGATTTATTTCATTGAAAAATATACCAAAACCACTCCCAGTGGAAAGTCTTTCTCCAGCTAAATGTTTGTCTGACACTGTACCTTTTTCTTTAAGTTCCAGCTGCTGTTTCCCTCCGTGATGGTGGTGGTAGAGTCGATCAAATCACAGAAGGTAAGGATTGTTTCTAGTAGCATTTCACTAGGAAATGTAAGTTCAGGGTGGCATTCAGCACTTCAAGAGGACAAAGAACCAAATCATTTGTAGAATATTGAGAGAAAACACAAGTGAGTTTGTATGTGGAAAGCAGCAATGACATGTAATGATGCGTCAGTTAGGGATGCTTGATCCATCATGTCCTCTTATCACATCCACATTACTTTATGTGCATGAAGGCAGTCGACGGGCAATAAGACGGGTTTCCTAACATTCTATTTAGCCCAAATCTCTGCAATTTCCTAGAACTTGCTCAACAATTTGCAAACGTAACTTTACTTTTCGGGCGCCTTCTCATCGCTCAAAGTGTTTCATACAAACTAAATGATCCGGAGTAACGCGTGTGTGTTGCTGCTGTAGATCCATGGCTGTCAGATCCTGGAGACGGTGTACAAGCACAGCTGTGGTGGGCTTCCTCCCGTCCGCATGGCCTTAGAGAAGTAAGTCTCTCATTGGGGACGCCTTTAATCCAAGTTTCAAATGAACTGTAGATTCTGTACGGCAGGATTTCAACAAGTTCTCTTCTGATGCAGAATTCATATAGACACCAAGTAATCCTGTTTCAGTAGACGTAAGGAAATAATGATTTCAAATTTATTGTAATTTTGTAATTTAAGGTTTTCCATTTGTTCTGGTTTTACATGGGAGGGGTGTATGAATCCTTTCTTTGCTGCAGATGTTTTAACTTTGTAACAATGACAACAAAGCAATTTAATTGACATAGCCGTAAAAAGACAATAACATTACATAACTATGTATTGCAGATTTGAATGGGTGAGTTTTGAGGAGAGGAGTGAGGGAGAATGTCTGCGGTGTTGGTGGGGGGGGGGGAGAGAGTTCCAGAGGGAGGGGGTCGGCATTGGTATTGTCTTCTTCTTTGATTTATCGTGTCGTGTTGTGTGACACATTCTGCAGGATTCTTGCTGTGTGCCACGGTGTGATGTACAAGCAGCTGGCAGCTTGGATGCTGCACGGATTACTGCTGGACCAGAGCGAGGAGTTTTTCGTGAAGCAGGGCCCGAGTGCAGGAGGAGCTGCTGCCAACCAGGAGGAGGAGGAGGAGGACCTGGGGCTGGGAGGCCTGAGTGGGAAACAGCTCCGAGAGCTCCAGGACCTGGTGAGAATCACAGCCAAGCGTCATTTACGATGAAATGACGTAATCACACAGGACGAGTGGTCGCGGCGCTTGGTCGTGCACATCTGAATCATTTGTAACTTTGTGTGCGAGATCACGCGACTGTCACAAAAATAGTTCTCTGATTTAAAAACTCTCTTAACACGTCTGGGGATTAAACAAAGAAGGCTGTTCATTTTCAGAAACGGGAAGTCTAAAAAATATAATGTTGAGTAAATATTTTGCAGCCAAATCAAATAGTTTACAGGATATTCAACCTTTGTTTCCTTTTATACATTTAATACTTTACTTTTGTCTTTACAGGGTTTGTATGAAGGTAGTAAAGTATCCATGAATATGAGTTTACAGATAGTACAATCCCTCCTCCTCCTTGTGGAGGTTTATTACGTTCTGCTGGTTACACCTACAGACAGTCTATGTGCATATCTATGAGTTACACTCGGTCTTTTCCATTCTTCACAGTTCATTTTGTTTGTTCGCCCTCTGGTGTTTAGGAGAATAATGCAGCTCACAGCGCGTTGAGTATAAACGCCTTCGTGCGTGCTCAGAGCTCGCGCCATCTGTGGAGGCGCGAGTTATAAACAAAGCTTCAGACACGCAGGCCAAGAGATCGGTACGTATATATTGTTTAACAGAGTCTTGATTGTGTGCGTCTGTGCTTTGGGGCAGAGGCTGATCGAGGAGGAGAACATGCTGGCTCCGTCTCTGCAGCAGTTCTCCCTGCGAGCAGAGATGCTTCCTTCTTACATTCCCGTCAGAGTGGCCGAGAAGATCCTCTTCGTTGGAGAGTCCGTCCAGATGTTTGAAAACCACAACCACAGCCCGTCTAGAGCTGGTAGCCCTTCGTTCTGCTTGTAGTATCTTATTATAACTTTAGTCTTGATGTCACATCTCATTGTTTTCTTTGTTTTAGGCTCCATACTGAAGCACCAGGAGGACATGTTTGCTGCCGAGCTGCACCGACTCAAGCAGCAGCCTCTCTTCAGCCTGGTGGATTTTGAGAACTTGATTGATCGGATCAGGAGCACGGTGGCAGAGGTGAGCTCATATTCTACTGCACTAAGGACGGGTATCGGTACTCTCATCGATGCTGCTTATCGGTTCGGTTCCTTGTCGATACTCATCGGTTCTTTTTTATGATAATGTGAGAAAGAAATACAATTACTTAAGAAAATAATCAACATTGCTTTATTTTTCTTGTATGTAAACAAATGAGCAGCAATACAAAAAGTTCTAAAATCTATAAAATACATCACAGATAAACAATGACCTTAGTGATTATGTTTCATTGATGTTCTTGTGATGAAACTACCGTATGACATCACTACCGTATGACATCACTACCGTTACCTGAGGGCTGCTCCACAAACAGACTGATGTTCTGCGTGTTGGTCCCATGTTGTGATGAACTTACTGGTGATGGTTTTATTGTGTTTGAGACGACCAGAGTTCTCGGATGTGTTCTTCTCTCTGATCGTGATGCGAGTCTCTAACGTGGAACCGGTTCCCGTTCAGCATCAGGTTTCGGGGGGCAAGCCTGACTGCCTTTAGTGAAATCTTTAAACTGAATAACAATCCACGCTCACTGACTTTCAGCACCTCTGGACGTTGATGGTGGAGGAGTCCGATCTGCTTGAACAGCTCAAGGTTTGTACTCGATGCACTTTGTTTTCTGGATCATAAATCGGTTCAAAATGAGCAGTATTGACGTTTGTGTTTTCCTCCAGATCATTAAGGACTTCTACCTGCTGGGTCGTGGCGAGCTCTACCAGGTTTTTATTGACCTCGCGCAGCACATGTTGAAGACGCCTCCAACAGCCGTCACCGAGCACGGTGCGTTTAGTTCTGTGAAGACGTTTTCACTCAGTAGTTCTCCTCCACAGAATGCTTGTGTGGTCGTCTCACCTGTAACGATCACAACGAGGTGTAACCGCCCGTCGATAGTCACTGATCCAATCTCATCATCCTGGGACAATCGATCATAATCAGATTAATGCTGGTTTGGTCAGAGGAAAAAGAGGCAAAGACCCCGAACTACTACGAAGTACAGAGACACGTTGCATGACATTTCTTTATGGCATACAATACGATGACATTATTATCATATTTTAATCACATACTATATATCCTCGCATGTCTTATGACATTTAATACTATGACAGATTATATATTTCTATAAAGTACTTTTTATGATAAAAAAAGTTCACAAGAAAAAGTCTACTGTGTATTGCAGAAGGTGAAACACGAGTACCGTTTAGTTTTTGTTGGTTTATATCTTATTCATGAGCACATAACCACTTTTTACAAATAGAGATTAGCTGTTTAAAACACACTCTGTACAGAGTTCTATTGCACAGAGTGTACTTCAGATGTTATGAATATGAGATGACAATAAGTAGCCGAATGAACTTCTGTCTGGTTCATTTTTAAGACATGTCACCAAAGTTCTGCACAGCGTCTAAAGGAAAAGACAACTTTTATCAATATAAATTATTTGCAGATTCAGGGCCATGAAGTTGAGCTGAAACAATGTTCCTCAACAAAGTAAATCATCCTTCAGCTGAGTGGGTTGTGATGAAGCATTGTACTGTACGTGTGCACAGGGTGAACCCACCATGCAGCTGTTGTTGCTCTTTAATGCTTCGCTCTGGTCTTTTCACAACTCAACCACTGAACCACGCCCACTCTGCCCGCTAGCTCTTCATTACGGAGAATCCCTGTGAGTGGAATCAAATCGATAAACGGGTAAACTGTGGGACACGCTCTCCTCCGTGAGCAGGAGACATCCGTCACCGTGATGGAGGCCTTTAGTCCACCAGACGGTGTATTATGTTAAACTGCATCCCCGAAACAGTCGTCTGCTGTTTGACTTGATGACCTGAAGATATCACAAGACAATAACGCGTACAGCCAGAAGACAATAACGCGTACAGCCAGAAGACAATAACGCGTACAGCCAGAAGACAATAACGCGTACAGCCAGAAGACAATAACGCGTACTTGAGGGTGGTGTAATGGAATGTGTAGATACAGGTTGATGGTCTTATATAATATTGATAAAGTGGCAGTAATGCAGGTTGTAAATGTACCTGGTAGTAGCCACACCTCCAGTGGAGGAGAAGTCGGCACCGGTTTGATGTCCCCTTCACTCAGCCAATGGAGAAAGTGTGTCGGGGTCCGATCGGGTTTGAGCTTGATGGAAACCTGTCGGCACCAGCTTTCAGTTTACATTCAGGACTTGAAGAAGAGCTGAATGTGTTTTGTGTTCCACAGATGTGAACGTGGCCTTTCAGCAGGCCGCTCATAAGGTGCTGCTGGACGACGACAACCTGCTGCCTCTGCTGCACCTCACTGTGGACTACCAGGGCAAAGACAGCAAAGGTGTGCTGCCTCCGGCGCTTCCTGTTCAGAGACTGGAGGAAACACGTGCTCCCCTTTTGTTTGGTGTTTAGCGCCACCCAGTGGTTTTATGATCAAACTGTAACTCTATTCTTCAGTTTTTAATGAACTGCTGATTGAAAACATCAAATCTTCTAACTAGTGCTAGAAAAAATGATTTGAATTGTTAATTTAGAGAAATTTACTCAGCAATTTTTAAAAAAAAATAATTTAACTCATTTATTTATGCAAAAATGCAGCACATTCTCTATTAATCTGCTCCTTCTCTCTGGTCGATATTATACATTTAAATATGTTTCAATCAACTGTTGGTCAAACAAACATCTTTATTATATTTATGGTTCATATGCTCGTAGGGACATGCAGCATTACTGTTGTTTAGGAGTTAATGCAGGTATATATATATATATATACACCAAACAAACACAAGCAAGTTCTGTCTTTTTTTGTTGTACGTCAAGTACTTTGTCATCAATAGTACATAGTCATATCTTGTGTGTGTGTGTGTGTGTGTGTGTGTGTGTGTGTGTGTGTATATATATTTACTCGGCTGCAGCTGATGTGAATTTACAGTTTGTATTAAAACACATGCTGCAGGTCGTTACAGAATAACTGAGGGGGGGGGGGGGGGGGGGGGGATACTGTGGAAGATTATCAGACTCATTGATGTGTTCAGTGAGGCTCAATATTCAGTTACTGTTGGTTTTTTTCAGAGGCGACGGGCCTCAGAGATGGAGCCACGCCTCCACAAGACACCTCCCCTCGCGAGGCTCCTCCCACAGGCTGGGCGGCTCTCGGTCTCACCTACAAGGTTCAGTGGCCGCTGCACATCCTCTTCACTCCGGCCATCTTGGAGAAGTGTGTACTCATTTGGCTCCCTGATGAAGTATTGTGTTTTTAATTGTTTGAGTACAGCTGGTGAACATCCTCTCCTCATCATTCCTTCTGATCGTTCCTCCTCTCCTCCTGATTGTTCCTCCCCTCCTCATCGCTCCTCCCCTCTGTGCTCAGGTACAACGTTGTGTTCAGGTACTTGCTGAGCGTGCGGCGGGTGCAGTCTCAGCTGCAGCACTGCTGGGCTCTGCAAATGCAGAGAAAGCACCTCAAGTCCAGCCAGACGGACGCCGTTAAGTGGAGACTACGCAACCACATGGCGTTCCTGATCGACAACCTGCAGTACTACCTGCAGGTAAGAGTTATAGGAGCCAGATGTGTAATTAATGTTTATGTATGCAAATACGTACACATGCAAACCAGTATTTATCCAAACAGGTGGTGCAGCAAGATTGTGTTCATCTTGCACATTCTTTAAATCATGAGTACACGCGGTCCTCACTGTTTAAATCTTTAAAACATGATTTAACAAACTTCACTGAAGTTTAAATGTATTTCCAGACTCTGACAATATCAGATGTTTGACTTAAGTTTCTACAGAATCATCGTGGGATACAGACACAGCCTGACGTGACGATTGCTCTCGTGTTATTTGAGAATTTTTAACAATTCGACGACGATCATCGAAGTTGTGCTTCTTTTCGTTGACTTTCGGTCCAGATTTTAGGACTAATGGCCTACATCCACATGTGGCTAAATGTGGAGTAGAAATCAGACTTTTGCACATGCAGTTTAATTCATAAACCCAAGCCATGTTTCACAGCGTACCGTGTGTACACATAGCTTTAGATCTCTCATGAAAAGACTTCTTGCCTCTAACGTGTGATTGGGGCATTGCGTTAGCTGAGCTACTTTTTACAAGTCTTTGTCTTGTTGCTTGTCTGTAGGTGGATGTGCTGGAGTCACAGTTCTCTCAGCTGCTTCAGCAGATCAACTCCACCAGAGACTTTGAGAGCATCCAACTGGCCCACGACCACTTCCTCAGTAACCTGCTCGCCCAGTCCTTCATCCTCCTGAAGCCGGTATAAATCACTGAGCCACATATGTAGATATTAATTACTCATCCCGTGTTACCTTGACCAGTAAGTCATAAAACTAAACACACTGAGCTGAATGATGCCTCCAGATTAAGCCTCATGAACTGCGTCCTCAGGTGTTCCACTGTCTGAACGAGATCCTGGAGCTGTGTCAGACCTTCTGCTCACTGGTCAGTCAGAGCGTGGTGCTGCTGGACGAGAGGGGAACCGCTCAGCTGGACATCCTGGTCAAGGTGGAGTCGCTCACCTCCTCGTTTGTCCGATGTCGGAACACGTCAATATATATATATATATATATATATATTTAGTAACACGGGGCGTTACACTTTCAGGGCTTCAGACGGCAGTCCTCCCTGCTGTTTAAGATCCTCTCGAGCGTGAGGAACCATCAGATCAACTCTGACCTGGCTCAGCTGTTACTGCGACTGGACTACAACAAGTACTACACCCAGGCTGGAGGCACTCTGGGCAGGTAGGACCCAGAATACTTCATTCAAATTCAATATACCAGACTCTCTTGAGACAAGTGTTAGAATTAACCCAGATGTCTTTCTTTCCAGTGTTTAAGAAGAGCCCAAAAGAAAGGATTCAGAAGAGAAGCTCTGACATTTCTACAGAGGTAGCCGGGCTTTTGTTTGTCGCACTCACAGCACTGAAAAATGACATTTGTATTTTCAGACTGATTTCAGTGGAACTACTTCTTTGGTTAAAAACAAGTAGTTCCAGTGAGCGCTGTTCATTAAACACACAAAGTGACGCTTCCTGCACTGGCTCTCTGATGGAGTCTGCTTTAAGAACGGTTTATATATTTTATTTAAAGATTGGTCGACATTTTTAGTAAATGTGCTTTCATGCAGAGAGTAAGATGTAAAGATTTGTCACTCATCTGTTCATCATGAGGCTGCAGCAGAACTTTGTTAGACTTGTGGTCATCGGTGCTCTTAGCTTAGCCATGCTAGCTGTTTACAGTCTTTATGCTAAGCTAACAGTTCCCTGTGTGACACTGATCTTCTCATCCGATTCTCTGGCAAAAAGAAAGTGAATGTTGAACTATTCCTTTAAAGTACTCGAGTGGTTTCCCTGAAATACGTTTACAGTACTTCAACCGGCTTTAGAACAATTCTGGCAAAGACGAGCTGCTGCTGTGAGTTTCACAAACAGACTCCGTTCACTTCCACTGAATATGGAAGCAGAAGCAGATCAGCACTGTCAGTAGGAACATGAGGTCCGGGTGATGAGACCGTTGGCTACGTCTCCCCGTCTTTGTATAAACTGTAAATATATATTAAACCAATGTTTTGTGTGGAGAAAATAAACTTGAATCAGTTAAAATGAAACGAGAGTCACAATTTATTATCCCGTTAAAAACAGACAGGATAACGTTATATACAGCAGAGGCATGCAACAGACTAATGCTGAACATTTAGCACATGTTTATGAGGAGGAGGAGGAGGAGTAGTCGTGGCGGTACTGAGGCTTGCTGTGGAAACCCAGGCGCTCCCCGCGGATGACGCTCTGGATGAGCCACTCGGCCGACACCAGCGGGACATCCTGTGACGTCACGGTATTCTCTACCGATGCCGGACAGGCGCGGTCCGTCAACACCACGTCGTACTTGCCGGCAGGAATGTCTGCAGATGGAGGAACGAAACAGTCAATAACACCTTGACCAGCGTAATATTTTGACATGGCGAGGTGAGGCCGTGTTACCTGAGTCTTTGTCCGCCGGGAACTGTCGGACACACGACCCTCCGCCCATGGTGACCAGCTGTGCCCAGAGCTCCACGGGCTTCTCAAACACCAGCAGGACCCGCAGAGCCTTGAACGGGCTGCAGCGCGGATGCCTGAGAGGAGAAAATATCTATTAAAACAACTGGTCCAGCTGCTGAGCACCTCTACCCGACACCGGGCAACCTTTCCAGAGGGGCAGCATCTCCTCCTCGACACCGCAGGTCTTACAATGTGTCTCAGTATATTATGTCAAAGAAACCATAATACAAGTATGCCGTAAGAAGTTACACTCTGTTTTGGCTGCTTTCTCTGAAGGAAACGTTGACACTTGATCTGTTCAAGGAGCGTTTTGAAAAATGAAAATCTGACGATAGTGACGGTTTTATTAGCTTCTGGCTACGATAAACTTGCTTTTTGGGGTTCAGAGGACTAACAACCTTCTGAACTGTCACTGGAGAAGCTATGGAGTCCATCCAGTGAAGCCAGAGAATGAAAAGCAGAAAACAGAAGAGGCTCATCTCACCATTCCACTATGGCCTCATCCGGCCCCACGCCGGCCGGCAGCAGGTAGTTCCGGTAGTTGAGCAGCTTGTTGTCTTTGCAGCAGTCTCGCACCCAGATGTGCGACACACTCGGCACACCGCTGGCCAAACACAGCAGGTACTTCCTGGTGCGACAGTGCTGGTCCGCTATGAGCAGACTCTGGTAAGCTGCCTTACACTGCGGAGACACAAAAACATGGATGGCTGCATTATTCATTCACTGTGTATCATGTCAGGAAATACTGATCACCATTCTTTAATCAGTGTTGATGGTGACTGCAGTGCTGCTGTGTTGACGCAGGACGATGAGGTCACAGCTGCAAACATCTGTTCTTCCTGCTTTGCCCGCTGTCATGTGACCTGGCAGTGACGTAGTTGGAGGCGAGGAAGAACTACAGAATGTTTCAGCGTGGAAGTCTAGTATCCGCCCTCTGGGGGCCAAGGGGGCGTGGCCTATAGATGGCTCAAAACCCCAAACTTCTTCGTTCCCCTTCGCTTGTACAGATCCTTTTATGGACGAGGACACGTTTTACAGTGCTTTGGCTGACTGATATTCAGACGTATTTATTGTATACAGATGAAGAAATGCAGCAGAGCGAGAACCCTCCGGGGGTCAGAGCAATGCATCCTGGGACATGTAGGCACAGTCGGCACGACAACACGAGCAGGAGAACTCCGCTCAATCGACTCACCATCAACTCTAATTAAACAGCCACATAAAAGACACCGTACATAACAACACATCTTAAACTATGTGACAACAGTACAAATTAGAATAATAAATACGATTTATCTGGACTAATATGTGACTAAAGAATCGAGAAAAATGACGAACACCGTGGAAGTGTTTTGACATTTATAACTTACTTGTATTTTTTAATTATTTATTTTTATGCGTAACTTGCTCTATTTCATCACCTTTGTGACGTGTTTTTGAGTTTCTTAAAAAGCACTTCCTAAATAACACATATTACTATGATTATTATTATGTTTAAATTATCCATGACCAGTTTTACTGATGTATGTAAACGCTGTTAAACTCAATCTTACCTGAGATAACAAAAAATAAATATACGAACAACAAAAATATTTCAGCAACAAATGACCACAGATGCTTAACGTATCATACATAACACATACAAACAACACTGAACAATATCTCACACTATCGGTGTATTTGACGGCTGAACTTGATTGATTTAAAGTTTAGTATCTGTAGTAAACCAATAACTCACGGCTACTGAACACTGGAGGGAACACCTGGAAGAGACTTAACATGATGTTCTGATCACTCACTTGTTCTTCGTTGAAGTCTTGCAGGACGAATCCTCCACCGGCCTGCAGCTGGGACTCCGTGTACGTCTTGTTATACGGACCCGTCTGCACGTAATCTGTGGAGAGAAAAAAAGACAAAAGTACAATAATTATGGAAAATCAATCATGACAGGAAACAGGAAGCGATGCGGCCGGCAGTCCGCCTCACCGTCCTCCTCATCGTCGCTGGCGTGCTTGTTGGTCAGCCGGTCGATCTCGGACGAGGCCGTCAGCATGAAGGCGAAGCCCATGAAGAGTGTCGTGTTCTGGGGCAGCGGGCCGTGAGTCTCCGCCACGTCTCCGGACCCACCGGGGAGATCGGTGCCGCTGCCGGAGGTGTTGCACAGTCCGACCCGCTGAGCTGCAGACAGGAACACAAACAAGTACAGAGTTAGAGAAGAAGAGACAGCACATATACATATGTATGTATATATATGTATGTGGTTGATGTGTAGTATCTTGTAATCAGTTCTTTTATCTATAAATCCTGTCATGTTATCTTCTGTGTAAAAAGAAATAAGAATGTATAAGAGATGATAAAGTGTTACGGGATATTTAGTTGTCTATGTCAATAAGAAGACAATTATAAAATAAACTTTGGGTAAATATAACGCGCTGTCTGCATCGCTGCATAAAACTAGAGTCCATTTGTCTGAACCAACCTTTTGAGCATCAAACATAAATAAACCGACGGTATTCAAACGGTTCTCGGAGATAAATCACCCGTGACTTTGCACAACAAAATTCACCCGTTGTCTTCCCTCCACCTGTGGACCAACACCGCGGTAACACTGGTGCACGTCATTAATTACCAGGTCGGCCTCAGCAGCAGCAGCAGCAGCAGACGGAGACACGTCTGTCCTAAATGTCTCAGTTATGCTCAGTACAAAACAACCACACATTACTGACAACAAGAGCTTCCTTGTGAGTGAATTAAGAAAGAAAAAAAGATTTTTAAAAATGTCACGTGCTCAAAGCACCACAATGAAAACACAGGTTAAAAAATTCTTCTAAAAAACATTTAAAAAGTGCTAATCAGCTGCAAAGTGCACACACGGCTGATTAGAACCTTAGACGAGAATAAAACATGTTTAAAATCTAAAACTAACTTTAAAAACATCATTTTTTTTAAACAGGGTAAAGAACAGATTCAAACCCTGAAATTAAAAACACTAAAATAAAATAAAATAACCCCCCCCCCCCCCGGTTCTGATGCAGTCATGGTTGCGGCGAGCGCGTCTCCGTACCGGCTCGGGCGCCCGAGCCCCCCCGGCGTCCTCTCTTGGCCGGCGACCTGTTGTTCTCGGAGCTCATCAGCTTCCTCTTGCCGGAGGGGCCGGGGGTCCGGGGGCTGCTGGAGGAGGAGCTCCGGTTGGGGGTGTTCTGACCCTCGGGGGCTCCTCTGCGCTTCCTCTTCCCCTCCACCAGGTTATCTACGGAGGATATTAAACACCAGCTCTTATCAAAACAATGCACCTTCATCAAGTTAGTGACAGATTGCATACGTTGTTTAGCATCTCCGTAATATATCCGAGTCACTGTAACGTCAGCGGTCATGTTTGTCGACGCTGCCTTGAATCTTTCGTCATACGGAGGCGTTTCATCCCTCAGCCTCTTGACAACTTTTTTTTTGCATATTAACTTTAAACTCTACTTCATAAACAAGGGCATCCGTCGGCGGTGTTACCGAGGCTGATGTCGGAGGCCTTGGGCAGCGGCACGGCGGGCTCGTAGGGCCCGAGGCTGTGCTGCTCCCTCAGCCTGTTGCCCTGCTCCACAGACAGGATGATGGCTGTCCTGTTGTACCACTGCTTCTGGCCCTCCTTCTCCACACTGTAGAACAGATCCTGGCCCTCTGTTTTATGGCCCCTCACAACACCTGCGCACACACAGAGTTTGTCATGTTTTTCTTGTGTACTAAATGGGCTACAGCTGCATTTCAGGACAATAAATCATCCTTGAATCCTTGAATAGAACAACTTGAAGAGAAAATCTCTTTCTAGCTCATCCACTGATTTAAAACCCCTGAAACAAAAGGTCAGAGTTCATTAGAACGTCCTCCCTCACCTATGCTGAAGTACTCGTCCTCCAGCAGAGCGGTGACCTCCGTCTCCAGCGGGATGGGGTCACACAGCAGGATGTCCTTCCCCACCACCTCACACTCGTAGCCGTCATCAAACCGCAGGCGGAACCTCCCCTCGCCGGTGTCTTTGATGATGCGGCCCGAGTAGAAGTAGCCGTTGGACGTCCACTTGGCCACCACCCGCAGGCCGACGAAGCTGCTGCCGGCCGAGTTCGCCTCCTCCGGAGACGAGCGCAGGGAGTCGGAGTGGCTGGGGAGCTCGGGGTCCGCGGGGCTGACGGGGAGGTGCGGGGGGAGCATGCGGGTGAAGTGCTCGTCCTCCGAGGAGGAATGCGGTGGCCTCTGCAGAGAGCGGACTCTGCCTCCCCTTCGAGAGCCAAACAGAGAGCATCAGACGGGGACTGGAAGGGTTCCTGTAAGAACTGACTTTCTCCTTCACATGCAGTATATTATATCTGTATATGCAACATGTTTCCAAGTGTCCACAAGTGTTACCAATGTTAAAATAAATGGAGGCTACATGCTTTATATATCAAACTATTTACATTTCTCTTCTCTGCTCTGTGTTCAGCAGCAGTTCAGTCAAAGTCTCACTGATTTATTGTCACATGACTGTTGGTCTCTGATGATTCACTCATGGCTTCATAGTCCCGCGGAGCAGCTCAGGTCTTGTTTAAGCAGACGGTTTATTTGTGGCGAGATTTTAAATGAGACGTAGAATCAAATGTTTTTAGTGAAATATCACAATTTTAAGCTTCGGTTGCTTTTTTTTGGACTGAAGCGTTCGTCACACATGTGATGTGTTCAAGGACCATGGTAAAAATGAAAATCTGACAACAATGATGGTTCAATACAGCTTCTGGCTGTGATAAACGGTGTAGTTTTGGCGATTGTTTAAAGAAAACATGCTGTTCCATCATAATAAAGTGTGCAGCCAAGCTACAGACACTCAGAGCATTACAATATCATCTATGTCAAGATACACGAGTATCATTTAGTAACAGGTACCGCTGTCCTCGAGTTGTTGGTTCAGCCGTCACCACGCTGAGAATAAAACCACCACTTTTAATCAAATATGTGCATTCAGCAGCTTCACTGTAAGAATCAGCTTTGTGATGTAAAGAGTTCAATTGACAGCACACTTAGAAAAAGAAGAATTATGAAATCCAAATATTTGACTTTAATACAGAAATTAGTGGAAATGATTCAAAAGAATCAACACTCTTGACGAGTAAGTAAAGCGGATTTAGACTCACGTCATTGTACGTTTAATATCTTTGGGTTTTGGACTTTTGGTCGGACAAATCTTATCTGACGTCGTTATCTTTGTGACGGAGAGTTTTCACTCGTTTATCACAGTTACAAGAAAGAAACAATTGATTCACTACTGATAAACATGTATAGTTGCAGCTCAGAGTGAGAGGATTAGTGAAAAGAGGAAACGTGAAGTGTTATTAGAGGTGCAGCGTGAGCCTCAGCGAGGACTCACCTGGACCTGGAGGAGCGGGACGGGGGTCGGCCCCTCCTAGCCCTCCCTCTGGGGGTGAGCGGGGCGAGGGCCCGGGACCCCAGGGTGTCGTAGCCTCTGCTCACTGTGACCACTGACCCCGCCCTGTGACCCCTGTGACCCCTCTGTTGCTGCCCGCCTCCCCTCCTGGGACTGCAGACACACAGAGGGGACCAATGGGATCCGGTCAGGTTGCACGGGCACTGATCTGGGGGCTGTTGAACGGGGAGCGTTTAGCGACCCCCAGATTCATGCACGCGAACAACTTGTACCTGAAGCAGGCAGGGATCAGTGAATCACTGAGAAATTAGGGTGTTAGAAAGGCAAAGCAGGTGAAGGAGTGACACAGGAAATCAGCATGCAACTAGTACAGACAGAGAAACCAGAGAGGCTGGATATTGGCAGGACTGAAGAGAAGCCGCTATCGTCAGTGTTGGAGGTGGAGAGAGTACCTGAAGGCCCCTCGGCTGGGCGGCATGATGAAGTCCGGCCGCGTGAAGCCACTGCTGCTGGTTCCTCCGGAGCTGTGCTGCAGGCTGGAGGTCTTGGACGACAGGGAGCTGATGTCACCCAGGTCACCGGAGGTCACGGAGCTGCTACCTGTGCGGCACGGGGAGATGTCGCCGTCCAACACCTGGCAGTCCACCACGGGCTCCTCGTTCTCCTGGTAACATACAAATAAACACAGGTCACGCTGATGTTAAAGTCAAGTAGTGATACGTGTTAAATATATATTATACAGCCCAATAAACAACAATAACTAACATAACATTTACAAAATGTGAAGCCAAATCTTCATGTGTTAAAGCTGCATTCTCTCTAGTGTCCACCAGGGGGCGACTCCTCTGGTTGTATAGAAGTCTATGAGAAAATGACTACTTCTCTCTTGATTTATTACCTCAGTAAACATTGTAAACATGAGTTTATGGTCTCAATCTCTAGTTTCAAGTCTTCTTCAATACAGCATGATGTTCATTTAGTACATTATGGTCCATTTAGAGTCAAACAGACCATAAAGCAGGGGATGCTTTAGGGCGGGACTACACGGTGATTGACAGGTCTCTACGGTTGTATTTAGCTCCACCCGTTTTTCAACCTGGATCCTACTTTCCCGTGTTTTTGTGTCCAAGTGACTAATGGCAGCAAAGATTTCGGAACTTGGTCCAGTATTTAAGGAGAACGCCACTAGACAGACTCAGATTGTTATCATTAGTGTCAACATTATGAAAAGAAGCCCTGCAGGGAAATAAGATGTTTTTGTTTACATTTCACTTTACAGCTTTTTGAAAACGTACGGACAGTGAACCAGAACAGTAACGTTGAGGCCCGGACAGATAAACAATGAGCTGAAACTCACAATGAAGACAAACTAAAGCTGTTTAATAACTGTGAGAAATGAGAAACGTGTCGGTTACCTCGGTGACTTTGCGCTCCACCTCTTTGCCGTCCTCATAATACACGTCCGTAATGATCCGTGTGATGGTGGTGCGCACTTCCTGGATGGTGCGCACGTGTCTGCGGTGGGCAGGGGTTGTGGTTCTTCTAAAGGACGGAGACTCTGGTTCTCCCTTTAAGGCAAAACAAAATGCAAGCGTGTCAATGAGAGAGAGAGAGACACACACACACACACACACACACACACACACACACACACACACACAC